CCCCCCCCCCACCGTCCGACCGCCGTCGTCGCCCAAACGAGACCGCCGCCTTTAGTCCGTCCGCCGCGAAGAGTGCGCGCGCGGTGTGCCCATGTGGGCGTCCCGCCTGGCGACTGTACGTGCGGCGCGTACCGCTCGCGCCGCGCTCTTCGACGAATACCCCCGAATATTGCGGTCAACACACGTACTCGGGTCGCGCGCCCGGCCGCATATACAATACGCCGCGACGGCGACGACGCGTTTCCTACCGTTTAGGTATTATACCGGTTACCGCGGGAGCTTCGGCGCCGCGCCGCCGCCCCGTGAACACACGCGCGCACGCCGCGGCCGACCGTACTCCTCCGCGCGCGTATCGCATACCGCACACACGCGCGCACACACACGCACACACACACACACACATACACGCGCGAGTACGAATACCGCATACAGTTGCGGTACCGCGTTTACGGTGCGCGTAGTACCGATAGTCCACATCGCGCCGGCGGTCGAGGCTTTTATCCCGTTAACTCCACTAACGCGTGGCGGCGGTCAACGTCCCGACGTGTCCGCGGACTTTTGCGCGGGTGCCGTGCGTGTGCGTCGGTAATAGCCGATAAATTGGTACGCGGGAAAAAAAAAAAAAAACAACCGGTAGGTGCACCGCAGCCCACGCTGCCGCCACCGCCACCGCTGCCGCCCGTCACTCGCCGTACCGCCGGCTGTCGAAAGTTTGTTTGTTTTTTTTTTTTTTAACGGTGTTTTTTATTTCCTCCCCCCGCCGCCACTGCTGCGGCCTTGAATCGTTCCGCGATCCGCCGCCGCCGTTACACCGGCAGTGTTTTTTTTTTCAATTCGCCTGCCGCTGTCGACGTAACAAAGGTCAGTAACACGGTATTTATTTACTATTTTTTTTTTTTTTTTATGTTATTGTAACGCATACGGTATTGTTCGGATTATTATCTACGAACGGTTTAGCGGTTTTAATGGTTAGAGGGATTCGGTTATAGAATTCCTCTTCCTTCTCGTGAGGTTTCTGTCATTAGATAATACGCGAATCGGTAAACCGGTGTAATCCTTCCGATTTTTTATTTTCACAATTTTTTCATACAAATCAAAAATAGACTTCGAGTAAATTTCTCAAAAGAAATACATAATATATGTATGTATTATTACGTATTTAAAACGATCATAGTTTAACACAATTAACTTAAATTTGTCATTATATTATATTGGTTTAATTTAATTATACGTATTACAATATTACTGAAATTTCGTAATTCCTAAATTATTTACCATAATTTTAATGTATTTGCATATTTTATATTATAAAAAAAAATTTATCTACAGCATCCATAAATACAATATGTTATAAATTATTTGCTCTAATATTAAATAAAATTAACCCCGTACTATTATTACTAACCAAATAGTTTTGGTTCTACTAAACAAAAATTCGACATAATGTTAGCTACAATACTTACTATTCATAATATATTGACAACATTTTAACTGTCCAAATAAAATTATGTTTACATCATTGTTGTTTTTTGAAATGAAAATTAGACTTAATTTTATTTGATTATTATTATTTTTTAAGTCAGTTAATAATGTTAATGATGGCATCATAATAATGTAATTAAATAATATAGGTATATATATATATATCGTTTTTGAAAATGTATATTTATATCCGTCGGTGTAGGAAAAATATTGAACAGAAATAAAAAAAAAAAATAATTACATTTTTATAACTATTAAGTAACACATTATTATTAATTGTGAAATCTAATGTAGTTGACTATGATCGGTACATTTTTAAATAATTTTTATTGAACATAATAATTGTTTGCATATTAAACATTCGTCACCTTATGAAGAATAACTCTTTGATAGTCGAGTAAAAGAAGATTTAAAATGTATGTATTTAAAAATTTAAATTAATCAATTACATAAATGATCATAAATTTGTAAAATTTATTTTAGGTAAATAATTTATGAGGGTGGATAGCACTGTTAATTCTAAATTTTGAAAATATGGTGTTAATTACTTTTTATACAAAAACAAATTTAGATAAATATAAGTAATCGATTCATTTAAATTATAAACTTTCACCGAGCAGAGCATAATTTAATATACGAGTAAACTAATCACCGGCATTTTGTGTAAACAGTTATTTTTTCCCCTCAATAATAAATATAACGCACGATATTGAATTTGACGTTTTATTTGACACTATGATGATATATCATAGACTCACTCAGTGCTTGAATGGTGGGGGTAGCCCTAGTCAATCCCACAATTGGGCTAATTTTAAACAATCGGGCAGATGAGTTAACTTGATGTACGAGTAATTTAACCAAAATCTAAACACATTAACATTAGGTATTTCACGAAAATTGTATGAAACAATTATAATATAGTATACGTAATATAATTTTTATATTTATAGATAATAATAAATATTGTTTTTTTTTTGTAAATTATTATTTTTTATTAAAAATGGGTGTAAGTGTAAAGGGTGTATGGGGGACGAGCCTCACGCGGGTTAGATCGATTTTTATCATTGCAAGGGACGCTATAATTTTGTTACCCAAGTCTCATTATAATCCTCGATGTTTTATTTTTTCAATTCAAGCACCAGACTGTTGTAGTGTCGTTGCTGTGATTCTATTGAGGTATTTGTAGAGATCTGGCTGTATAAATACGCGTCTTATTACTTCTCTATTCACCCGGCTTAAACTTTAAAACGGAAGTACGGCAACGCGCGACGTGTCTTTAAGTATTTCACACCGTATTATTATTTATATATATATACTTGTACACCTATATCGAATATACACCGTTTATCCCTTATTCCCTTCAACCGTTCCGTGAACCCCTTTTGACACATAGATTAAAGGGGATTTCGTTGCAGAGAAAAATTAATGCCGTTCAAAACATATAACATATATAAAGGTATATAGCTATACAAGTTCTCCTTGCATGGGTGTGCACTGCTGCACTTGTCACATTGACGATTGTTAATTAATTCGATTGTTATTTGACGGTTGTATTTACTGTATCGTATATAATTTTGTCGTTAAGGAAAAAAGAAAAAAAATAATAATAACTTTAGCCAATATTGAATTATTATAATACAATTTGATCAATTTATTGTTAAAATCTCCATCGTCGGAGAATAGCCGACAGAGAAAATTTACCGATTTCGTAATAAATAATTACAATTTAATTATACATTTATATTTATGATATTTACAATATTTTCATATTTTATCTTTACACCGGTTTTTTCTGTCTTGCAGTATTGCATTGCTAGTCTAGTTTAGTTGTTGATTTTTAGATTCTGGGCGAACCGAAGAATGTATTCGTTTTTTTAAAATGTGTATAGTGTGATTATTTTTTATTTGTCTGTAAACAACTTTTTCACCGGAAATTTGATTCCAATAAAAAAATAATAAAGTAACGTTTTTTTGTTACATTATGGATCAGTTGTTGAATAATAATTGGGAAAATCTAGAAAAAAGGAACCTAAAAAAAAAACATGAATAAATTTGTGTTCAATATTTTCGATTTCGTTTTTTACCAGAAATCTTGCTCCGAAATTTAAGTGAACCTTCTGAAAGATTCTGTTTAATTGGTGATTAAGAAATTAATTTTTTGTTTTCTAAATAATTGTGAAAAACGAGAAAGTTTACAGTAATAACTGTTTTATTTTTTATTGCAATTTGGTTAAAAATAATCAAAGATATCTTAAATTGTTTACAGAGTACTTATACTAGGTAGTCTTTTCTAGACGTGGTAAAGTCTTCAAACCATTTAGAATACTTTAAAGCAATTCATAGATATTTGTCATTTTACTTTATTTTGTTTAATGTGTATACAATTGTCTGTTCGAATAGAAATGCTTAAATATTTAATTTGAGGTTCGTTATAAGTTTAAATTAGTGGTAAAAAAAAAAAAAAAAGTTGAGCGTTATATCGTACTTTCTTAGAATGGTTTACATTGCGTATTGATAAATTAAATAACTTTATGTATCTGACGTATCCGATCTTCCCAACTTCCCACCCACGACAGTAGTACATTCATTCCCTGTATCAACTGTTTTTATTCATGTCCTCTATAGTGTGGGCACCGTGACCGAATTTAGTCCAAAAAAAGTGCACCAGTTACTAAAAAATTTGAAAACCGCTGCATTATACTGCGGAAATATATTGTCCGATACTTTGGCCGCAGTGAGCAATTTATAATTATTTTACAGACGCCCATTCGTTACGTATTTTTCGAGCGGAACTGCGACTGCGGGAGCGCCTGCACAAGGCCGCCGCGGGATGGTGGTCAAGGGTGCACAGATGAACGGCGGCGCTGTACCGAGCTCGGCGGTGACAGCGGCGGAAGACGCGCTGTCCGAGGCGTACGCCAAGATGACGGCTGACATCTTGGCCGAACGGTCGCTCGGCGACTTCCTGTCGGAACACCCCGGCGAGTTGGTGCGCACCGGCAGCCCGTTCCTAGTGTGCACCATACTGCCCACCCATTGGCGGTCTAACAAGACGCTGCCGGTGGCCTTCAAGGTGGTCGCCCTGGGCGAGGTACCGGACGGCACGGCCGTCACTATACGGGCCGGTAACGATGAGAACTTTTGCGCTGAACTCCGCAACTGCACCGCCCTGATGAAGAACCAGGTGGCGAAATTTAACGATTTGCGTTTCGTGGGCAGGAGCGGCAGAGGTCAGTACCCATAACCGTTATATCGTCCTTATCATGTTACAGTGACTAAACTAATTGATATTTCGATTTTAACCAGGAATTATGTGCCAAGTATTTCCTAAAATCATCACTTGGACATTTTTTTTCATGCAAATATAGGGATCAAATATTAAGGCATTTAAACATGTATTTCTTATACCGGGACATTTTTTACACTTTGAAATTTGTATACGTTGTACAGTATACGCCACAGTTGTTTACTAATACCTCGGTATAGTCTACACCTGGTCGCCAACCAGACTATATTATATTTTATAAATTAAAAGTTTTAATTTTTACAAAACATAAAATTTACGTGCCTCGCGATTTTGAGGTTTTGAAATGTTATTACGAACGTGTATTGTGCGTATCCAAAAACGTTTTTTAGTTCCAGAAATCCGTCTCTCGTTCACGAAAAGCGATAGCTCTGTAGTTTAATAAACGTCTACAATAATTAAGCGGATTATCTATATTGTTACACTTATAGGAGAAATAAGAATGTCATGTTTTTGTAGATTTTAAACATTTTTTATTATATACATTATAATTGGTATACACGCAAAATGCATTATGCATATTTAATACGGTGTACATTATAGTATGTCACAGTGGTTATGTTTTAAGTTTAAACTTGATCGAAATCTCAAAATAGACAATTTTCGTTTATTGGGTGAATGGTTTACATGCATTAATCTGTAGTATTCAAATAATTTCACCTGTGTTTTTCACTAATTCCCGTGAGTATTGCTGTATTTTTCAAAACAATTCAATATTCAATATTCAATATTCAATCGGATTATGAATTGTTCATAATCCGATCACTCGAGTAAGAAATTTAACTTTTTCGTTTTAATATTTGCGTAATATCATTAAAAATTGCATTTTTTCGTTGTTTTAACATCAAACTATAACCAGAGGTATAATTTATGCAATATTTATTTGTAATTGTGCCGAAAATATGGCCTTTGTCGTTCGCCGTCACACCAAAGGTTACAATGTTTTATAATGTCACATTACGCTTTAAAGTATCATCAAAACGCAATAATATTATCGTCATTATTGCATACGAAATACATAATTGTTTCCTATTAGTTGTATTAAAAACAGAGATACGGAAAACTTAACGGCGACTTAAAAAATAAAACTAGTAATTTCATGAAAAAGACGTATTATATTTTATATTTACATCGATTTATTATTATGATAAAATTACCCATATTTAATATGTTAACGAGCAATATAATTTTTTTATATTTTTTTTTATAAAAAATCAGCCGTGAAAAGTAATAATAAAATTATACACACTTGAAAAATTGTATTATATAAGTGATTTAAATACGAAAATACTTACAGTCATATTTGATTATCCAGAGAAACTGATGACTTTTAAACAAAAAACAAAGAGAATATTTTTAATAGTAATTTTTTCTTTAGAGGAAAACATTTTAAAAAGGGGAAGTAATTCGCTACTTATAAGTTGGTATTTAAGTGGTTTTTAACCGACCCCAACGTAGGGGGAGAAAAGTTGGTTTTTTGGTTTAATATTATTTTAATATTAAATAAGTATAACAACGATAATAATCATTGTATTCGGAAACTAATTTTGAGTGGAGTTAAACATTGTCATAGTATAAGTGTGACGTATTTCTGTTTTTGTTTATTTGTCTTTTAATTTGAAATTAAAAATTGATCATATATTTAAAAATAGTTTGACTTCTACGATTTCCTATATACTTTCGTATACGCTTACGAAACTATAGTTGTAAATAAATTTGATCAGAAATATTTATATTATAATATAGGTATATTTACTGTATCGTGCAATTTTAATTATTGAACAAAACTCAGGGGGGAGGGCATTGAGGATTAGTCCTCAAGATAATTATCTCCCCTGAAATAACACTACCTATAATATATGAGTATTTATTTAGGCATTTTATCCTAAAATTACATAATTCAGTCGTTACAATAAAAAAAAAAGTATCATCGATAATGGACGACAGAAGAACGGACGAATTATTAAATATTACAGTAGGTGATAAACACACAATTGGTTTGCATTGAATGAATTAGGTGTACACTGTAAACCTAATATTAAAACTAACAACGTAAAATTGACCCGTTAAATGCAAATGTATTCCGTGGGTTCGGAATACGAAGACGAGGCAAACAGTATGAGCGAGTACAATTCATGTTATTGTATTCGTTTAATATTTATAAAAATAAAAAACTTACCACTGTGGCAACTTCCTAAAACTTCCAATGAATAACGAAGAATTAGCATTTATATATTATTATAGGTTATAATGAATAAATGAACAATTATTGAAAAATTAATGATTTTCGAAAATCATTTAAACTTGGAAATTAAATTAGTGATTACAATTTTATAAACTTGTACAATGAAAAAAATCCATAATAAACCGATCGGATTAAACAAGTTTTTCATGTTAGGTACCCGTGACGACACAATTATAACAAAAATTAAATACAAAATCGAAAACAAGGAAATCATCGCCTTTCTTATTTTGCCTACTTGTGTCTGGGTTATTAAATATAACAACTAGTATTTGTTTAGTATTTTCAACTTAAATTATGTATTTCAGCCAAATTACAAGGAAAAAGCTTAGATAAAAATAGGCTCTTTTGGATCCGACTTTAAAATTTAATTTGTTGAGTTAGGTACAACAAAATAAGATTCTATACGATTTGTTCACGAATCATGATTTTTATTTAACTCCTACCATCGAAAATTACCAGACACGTTACCTGGACGAGCAAAATCAAATTCCGTTCGGTGTTGTAGATTAGGTTTTTCGCAGAATCGGTTGAAAATTCCTTTGTCCATATATAAACAACATCCCGCATTATGGCCAGCTAAAAACGGATAAACGACAATAAAAATGAAAAAAAAAAAACTATATTGTTTTCGCGATAAACGCTATTGCAGTTTATTGTGATTTTATTACACCTGAACAATAATATAATTACTATTGCACCGTGCAAACGGTTTATATTATAATGATATGCGTGGAAAACAGTGTCATCGGTCGTTTTTTATGAGTCTGAATAGTGCAAAAAAATACAAAAAACCCCGTGATATATGCGTGTAACAAAAAGGACCGCAATTATATTATTACAGCGGGCATTTATCGTTAAACACGTTTTGACGAGTGTCGCCTGTCGGTCGGTGTGACGGGGACGTCGACACGATTTTCCGCTCAATTAATATAATGTACGCTCCCGGGTCAGTTGTGTTGTCTCGTATATAAACGTCGCGTTTTTCCTGCGTAATTTATCATTCCCCTCGTTTTTCGTTTTTTAAAATTTATTTATGATTTTTTTTTTTCATTTGACAAATTAACTTGATCACCCCCTCGGGCGAACGCAGTATATTATGTGAATCGCGTTCCACGAAATACCCGTGTAAACCACATACTTTTTGCACTTGTCTACTAACCTAACTACTGCCTAATATTTATTTGAGGGGAAAGAGTACGTTTTTACGGAAATATATAACGTTTAGTAATAATAAGTTAAAGTCTTATACAGCCCAATTTTAATTTTTAAAAAACACATTTGAATTGTTTGGTATCTCGTCTATATTTTCGGTTAGTTTAATCTAGTTGTAATAGCGAAATATGATGAGTTTACTTTTTTTTATTAATATAACTCGTACTTAAAAATGTGTCATAAAAAAAAAAAAAACAAACATTTAACATATATTTCCTACAGGAAATAGAAAAGAAATGTACAAAGTCAAATCATGTTTCAAAACAGAAATTGGATTACTGAAAGTTTATTTTATTCCAGGTTATTGATCTAAATATATAAAAAAACTTTTCGCTTTCAACCGTTTTAGATTAAATCATTGTAATTCTTATTGGATTATCTTACATAACCTAACGACGAGTCTTCATGCACAAAATTTCTCATGCACCGCCGCCACTGGACTCTAATGCATAAAGAATTTATAGTAAAATAGCATTGTTTGGAGGAGATGGATTTTATTATCAGTATTCTGCATGTTGTTTTTAGCATTGTGGTAGCGGTATCAATAATGAAGCTGTTAAAAAATAAATGCTCTCCAGATGAGAAACTTTTAAAAAGAGGTATTTCGTTTATAAAAGACTGTCATACATTTATTTTATTTCCAAATTTATTGTTTTATTTATTTATTTAAATAAACGCCAAAGTTGTCTTGCGTACAGAATAATATACATTTTCATACATTACTGGCACATTACCATTCTTAAAAACTAACAGACTCCGAAAAATAATCACGCAACATGATAACATAGTGATGTGTGTCAACAGTCACTGTTCGTCCGTTTTGCATTTTTAAATGTAATGCAGGTTTAAAATACGTCAAACCAAACAGTTACTTTCTCACAGTGCAGAGGTTTCTGGTGCAGTTGTAGATTTGCGGATACCCATAGTACTGAAAATTCTGTTTGTTTATCATCCCCGATAAATAAATGTGGGCCTCGTCACTCGTGATAAAAACGACATCGTCCGCCTGCAATACCAACACCGCTTTTACGGTATTGTATGTATACCGTATTGCAGTTCATTGTAAATAAATATACAAAACGCTACTGACCAATGCTTCATTTCTATTGAAAAGGCATGTGTCGACGAATATTTATCATTCATTCCGAAAACAGTGTGTCCATTCAAGCGCGCGTAACAGTCTTTTCAAAAACATCATAGCTCGTTACCGGACATTGTATATGCTTTATAGTATAATGGCAAATGTTAATTCAAATCCGTCACACCATCTTTAACTGTCTATTAAATACTGTGAGTATTAATAAAATCTTCATAGGTCATGTAATCGGAGATTTTTGAACAACACTTGCACCGATGCTATCACAGATGAATAATTTAGGAATAGATCATACGAATTAAGTGTCAATAATAAAGTTTCGAATTAATACTAATGTTGAGACGGCCATAAATGATGACGTCAAAGAATATTAGTATGTTGCGTTTAAGAAATAAATGATTGAAAACACAAGTTTGAAGTGTACTGCTCCATCGTTATACATATATTAAAGTGAAACGTGGACAATAGCAATGCATAGCAAAAGAGATTAGAAGCGTTATAAATGTGGTGTTGCGGGAGTATGTAAAAAGTACGCTGAACCGAAAGAATATACATAAAGCAAATAATGAAAGATCAAGGATGCAATTTGTCGTTTACAATCGAATAGTAAATTGGTCAACAGAAACGAATAGAAAAAAAGCTGCAAGCCAATCTGAGAATTCAAAATAAAAAAAAGAAAAAGAACATTATGATCATTAATTTGTATTGTATTATGATATTATAATGGCTATTCCACCATTCCAGTGTTAAACCTGCTGTTATAATGAAATCCCCTTCAAATGCTATTAACGAGCGCGACACAAAATCTGTATCTATGTATACGCGCTACACACAGCGGAGGTAGTAAATGCGTATATTTAATTATATTAATAATCGTTATATCTATGTTGGTGTACTTTTGAAAACGGCGTCAAAATGACTATACACATATATCACTGGAATGCTGGGGAAAAAAAAACCCAGTACAGATAAATTCGTCAAAAAATAACTGTTCGAAAACGCAAATAATGTTTGGTATGTTTGGATCTTTTCCTGCATTGTTGCTTTTTCCTGCCGTTTGTTTATTAAATATTTAATAATATTAACGCACGTTTTAAACGATTTATATTTTTTAATGTATGCGAGTATGACTGAAAATAAATCGTATTTTTAGTATTATTTTTTATTCTATCAACAATGAGATTACATACAATAGACATCAAGTGAATTTTTGTTTTATTCGTTTTCAGGCAAGAGTTTTACACTGACTATAACCGTGAGCTGTTCACCCCCACAAGTAACCACTTACAATAAAGCCATCAAAGTGACCGTAGACGGACCCAGAGAACCTCGTTCAAAAACGCGTGAGTACTGTCAAATTTCAATTGTGTGCCACTGTTTTAGAGAGAAAGTTGAAAGGATAACAAAAAGTAATTTAATTTATATCTGTTAACAACAATAAACCGTTGCCAACGAAAAACGATTCTGAAGAGTTAAAATAATAATCACTTTAATGCACCAACTAGATAAAAAATTATACAAAAAAGTTCCTATAAAGTTTTCGACTAAAGGAAGAGTTTTAGTAGAAAAGATTTTATAGACGAGCAAAAAAAAAAAAAACCAAAAATACATAAAACTAATATATTCCATTCGCTTTGCTCAGAATTAAAAATAAAATTTTAATCAAAATTAAAATCGAAAAACATTTAATGAACATTATGGGTATTTTGTTTTGAATTTTCTCTGAAGTTATTATAGCGTACATATTATTTTGCAATTAAATAGTAAATATTTCAGTTTGCGCTATATATAATAATATTGCGTTGTCGGCGCTATCGCTATAGTTGCATATGGGTAGTCCGAGACTACCTTATAAAACCGTAATACAAACACATTTTTTTTTTTTTTTATTTTCCCAAATGTTTGATTCCACATAATAATACATTTTATTATTATTATTGTTATATGGCGTCAACTCGTTTAATAATTTATGACCGTCGTCTTCTCGGCACGTCTTTGTGGACACGAAAACAAATGCGACCGGAATGTGCGTTTAAAACCGTTTTTGAGGTTAAACTTGTGTTTTTTACGAGGGTTCCCGTCGTTTTTACGACCGATCCCTTTTGGCCGGCCTGCGTCCCGCCAAAAAGATGAAAGGCATTTTCGACAGAATTGTTTATGCGCGCGGCGGTCTCTTTAAACGATACGACACTGCTGCAGCGCCGCCGACCGGTGTTCAAAAAGAACGAACTGACAATATAAAATCCGGTTTTCGTATATCAGACGATAATAATATAATATTATAGATGTATAAAGTGTCGGCGAGTGCGGCATCCTTTCTGTTGCCATCGGGTAAACACTTTGTGTACACTACTTAATATACCTATGTATATACACTATTTAAAAGCTGGGCGTCCGGCCAGCCACGAGAGGATATACGTTACAGTAGACAATATATATATATATAAGTATAATACCCAAACGATCCGAACAAATCTCGGGATAGTCCCTGTGAACTTTGGACGCGTTCGCCGCTGTAGCGTTTAATGACTTTGAAAACCGATCGCCTTGACGATTCGCCATCATTTATTATCCGGGCGCGAAGGGAGGAAGAAATATAATCGATGTAAGGGGCGGGTAATGTCACGTATAGCCGGACTGCGGCGTGGAGAGGGATAGCGTGTGCGTATGTATGTGTGTAATAATATATAGAGGACAGTGACGTTGTACATCGGCTATAGTGTGGGATAACCGCACACGTGCCCGTGCAGCTGTCGGAACCCATTAATTGCCGTTTCCACTTCAGACGTTCCTCACCGCGTGAGTATATTATAGTAATAAAGGCCGGCCGTGCAAAACCCGTATCGACTTTAGAAGTCGAGTCGAAAAATTCGGAAAACAAAAGTTTTGCGAAACATCAGCGTTTTTATAAATGATAATATACAGGGTGTAACAGGACTATTTGACATTTTTACATTATAGTTACATGTAAATATGTCAAATCCAGTCCGATTGCACTCTGTATACTCTACGCACTTTGCCGTGACGTTCGATTTTAAAACCCAGTGATATCTTTATACCATCGTAATACACGAGGTGATTTTTTTTTTCTCATCACGATCCAGTGATTTTCTCGCCGATAATTTCAAGTGTATTCGATTTCTGTTTTTCATTTAGATTGTCATACGGAACACCGATTAAATGAATAATGAATTTCGATTTCCAAACGGTAAGGAGCAGGGAAAGGTAATTTTAGTATTTAATTGCCATAAGAAATGGGATTGATTCGCATAAAACGATCAACATATTATTAAGATAATATAAAATGAAGATATAATATATTTAACCATTGTCAATTCGGTACACGAACTACAACTGTATGTTATATTAGAGTCTAAGAAAAAAAAAAAAACAAAAATAATACAAAAAACACATTTGCTTTCAATTAATACTTTTAAAAGTGTTAATAGATATCTATATAATAATAGATTAAAATCTATTTAATAATATAGACAACTAAAATTATCAATATTATGTACCTACCTCTTAGTATTTTCCGACTTATATATTACTATTATTACTTATCTAAAAGGTGCTATACATTATAATCACTGAATGGAACCATAATCAATTTTACTTAAACTATCACTGTTTGGATAATCTCTGGGTCATGCAAATTATAATGTAACCCTGTATATTTTAGTTCGAAATTAACATTACTCTGCAGCACTCAAATATATATTGTACAATATACATATATTTTTTATGCTCTATTATTATGCTTTTAGTGCCTACTTAAAAAATACGGAATAATATTGCGGTTAAAGAGATGAGTATTGATAAGGGTATCATATTGCGGCATTTAGTCGTAAACCGCAGTCATTGACTCGTCCATTGATCTAAATCCTCGCTGGTGGTTGACCGTCACGTTTGTATTATCTATCGTAGTCACGTCTTCTTGGGTATTATTACAGACGATTTTCCTATTTCTATACTATTGCACGGATAATCATGTTTACTGTATAGTGTACGCATATTATATATTATATTATAAAACGCACTGTGGAATATTTCAAATGAATTACTCGGTTTTACTACGTAAGGATTAAAATATTAGTTTTGAAAAAAAAAAAAACCTATTCAGACGATATTGTATATTACTATATAGCAATATATAGTACGTCTTTTCATTATAAAATCTACAACTATAAACTTAATTCAATTTTTATTAATCGTAATCACTAATTAGTAAAACAGTTTTATAAATCTTACAACATAATTCGATATCAACTTTTTCGTCATCTATTTTGATTTTAAATATCATCATTACGCATTTTTCGGCCCCGGTTTAGATCAATAATACCAGTATCAGTATTTTTCAGTTTAATACCGTCATTCAATGTCGGTTTTATGCTCTCAAAATTATAATATTATACATTTTTCGTAATTTATTCACTAATATAATTTATTTGTATCTTAAAATAATGGCAACATAATTATTGCGATGCTCCGATCATAATTTCAAAAAAAAGGTTTTAGCAGAAAATATTGCCTAGTTGGGGTACGTATGTACAGTATGAGTTCATTTTTTGAAATTTCTTGTAATTTTTTTTCATAACGAGAAAACACCGGGAAAAAACGAGAACATTTAAAACAATAAAGATTATTGTTATTTTGTTGTTATTTGTAGTTATATACGTATGCATTTCAATAGCAATAATTAAATTTGTCGGTTTCTTGTTACATTGAAATTCGTTCCCTAATCATAATATAAAATTATCGTTTATATTACTTGTGCGCTCCTTTGTGAGTATTTTATTTTTCCGACAATTATCGCGTTTGAAACAATTTATGAATAACAACGCGAGTATAGTAGTAGTGATTATAATCTTTGTTCTTTGTCCTTAAAGTAATGTGATTTCGTGTACACGCGAGTGAGTCGGAGTCAAGCGAAATAATAATAATTGTTTGTTCGGAAACATTACGCGTAAAATAATATACAAAATTAATATATCTCCAGTAGAACGTCGGATCCTAATAAAACGTCTATTGATAAAAATACAAAAAAAGGCTGATACGATTGATGGGTGTTCCGCTGTTTTATGAGGGAAATCGGAATAGAGAATACATAGAGTATATTAATTTATATTTGTAGACAACGATAAACCATTACCAATTGAAAACAATGCTGTGCAGTGTGTTATAATCGTATTTTATCCAAATTTCCGAGATAAACTTGAAATCAAACAAAATCATACTAAAAATTCCTGTTTTTTCCATTTATTAAGTTATTTTAAGGAAATTAAAAAATGACCTCTCCAAGTTACAAACTAGTTCAAAAATTGTACACGAATGTAATTTCTGTTTCAAAAAAAGATGATACTATTTATGGGTACGTCACTGTTGTAGTTGGTAAATCAAGAAGGTATGTAACAGAAATTTATTTTATTTGTACCTGTACTCAACGATAATCGTTACTAACGAATAATGATTCTGAGCGGAAGTGGAATTCGGTTAAACATGTTTTTACGCTTTTCGTCAAAATTTAAAATTTAAAATTTATAAAAAAAAACATTAAACTCAATTTTTTATGTTGGCTACTAAATACAATTTATAATAAACATCCTGTTAAATTTTTAAGCATTTATGTTTGGTCTAACAATTTTATCCACGGAGAATCTACCGAAAAATTTTACGTAAACAATGGCAAAGTTAAAATGTCTATAAATAGCTCAGAAATGGCTCAAATGTTTTGATAATTTTATCACGTTTATAAAAAGTAAATATAAGGTTTTTGTTCAAATTTAAAGTCTCTTTAAAAATGTTTAACTAAATTACAACAAAAAAATAAACTTGAAAATAATAAAAGCATTATTTCATAAATTTCCTTAGAATCTAATAATGATATCAAAAGAAGATGTAGATTGATTTTATTTTTGTAAATTTCTTACTTTCTGGATTATCTTGGCTACAATTAATGACTTAATAAGAAAACCACGATTAATACTATAACTTTACCAGTTTACCGAGTTTCGCTCAAAATCTTTTTTTCAATTGCAATGCATTATAGAAACTAATAATTAACTATACCTCATAACTTTCTTACTTTCACCTACAACAGTGGACTATCTGTAGTACGAATAATTATGTCCCGTCTTTTTAAATTTGTATTACTTTCGGTTAATAAATACACAGTAATTTTACATTAATCATTGAAACAGTACCATATGTGTTATTTATTTATTTTTTCGGTTAATACGGTTTTGTAATTTTTTTTTCGTATGTAAAAGTCGTCTGAAAAATAATACTTAGAGATGAGAATTTATAAGATATATCCTTTATATACTACCTCAGGAAATGTAAAAGGTGCTGCGTTTGATAATCGAAGATCGGAGCAAGATTTTTGGTAGACTTTTTGTAGACAGTTAAAAAAAAAAAAAAAGTAACAAACATTGATTGGCACAAAATATATACTAGTAAAGTTATTTATAGACACCAAAAAAAAAAAAAACTCAATATAGTAAAATAGAATACATTACTCTCTCCGCTTCAAAAGTACTTAATAACTTATGATTATTTTTTTTTTTCTTAGGACAACAACAGCAGTTCCATGCGTTTGCGTTTGGCCAGAGACCGTTCTTATCGACGCACTTCGCTAATCCGCTTGACTCTCTACACAGGACTGCGGATCCGCTGGCTTTCCGCATGCCCTCGATGGCGAATTGTCAAAGTGAGTTCCTAATAAAAAAATATACGTACAAATAACATACGAATCGTCCCATCATATAAGAATACGATTCCGTATTTTCGGATTTATTTCAAACTAGTGAACTAATAACTAAAACAGGTACCTACCCACTACTACAGTAGGGGTGAATGATGCGCGCATATATCCGAGGGTCGGTTCCCAGGGGTATAAGTTTCTTTGAAACGATAACGAACGAATACACGTGTAAAAAAAAAAATATATCATATTACCGGGTTGGGGGGATGTACAATATAACCAATTTGTTTTTTGCCGAGTATCCTGTTATAAGTTTAAATTACAGCAGTGACATCAAACCCGTGTAATAACAGTATATTGTTATTATTAAATATATAATCTGATAAGTACTATGGTCGTTTATAAAAATCATTGCTGCTATTTTCCGAGGTTTTACGAGTTTTAACGATAGACAACAGGTTGGTGTATTACTATTAAGGTTTTAAACAAACTTTGATTTGATTTCGCAAAAACAGTACAGTATAGTAACTCAAAAATGCAATTTTCAGTTACATACGCCTTTCCTATGGTGAAAATGCAGCATTTACAATATTAAATAAGTTAAATGGAAAAATATGATTTTGAAGGAGATAATACGTAGGTTGCTGGAAAAGCAATTGAATAATTTTTCAAAATAATACACTATCGAACTACAATGAATTTAAGTGCAGTTAGTGCGTTAGATCACTACACTAGTATATCAACTCAAAAAAAAATTAAATTCGTACATGAAATAATCATATATTTTTTTTTTAAATTAATAATTTAAATATAAGATGTTACGAATAGATTTTACCGACAGAGTATATCGAAATTTGAAAGATGACATAAAATTTACTTTTGTATGCGAAAATTCGCAAAATCTTTAAACTCGTTCTTCTCGAAACACGATTGGCTATAATGTACTGCACTGTAGCGTTCTGATTATGCAATTTGAAATCCAAATACGTGCATATTCGACTACGAGTACACGTACATCATTTGTTTGCATGTTATATATTATAATGCGTATATATATTTTTTTTTTTTGCGGTCTTTTCAAACATCGGTCATAATAACAACCCGTGTAACTACCTGTATAACAATGTTATCGTTATAATAATAATATGATTTATGATAAAGCGTAGAGATCCATGGATAACCGACGCGGTATTTACTCACAATAATATACGGGCAATATTATTTTGTTCGCAATTTTCTTGTACCAACTCGAACAATGCCCCGGACAATCGATATTTTATGTACGAACAACGTGTTTCGGTCATTTAACCCGAAACGACCTATCACAATAAAATATACTACCCATAATAATAATAATGGTAATACGACATTACGTACGTATGTACCTACCTAATGATATTTTTACTGTTGTCGAGCTTGCGTATACAAAACTGCCCACCAACCGGGTCGACGTGCCATCGCTGCAGGGCGTATATAACCTCGTGTTATTATTTCTTCGTCGACATCGCGGTCGGGTATAATAAACACCCGAGACAATCCATTCGCGTAACGATCGTAATACGCGTGCGGATTCCGACATCCTGTAGCAAATGGATTCAATATTTTATATTAAGTACAACGCGCACGAAATATTATCAGCGGTAACGGCCTGCTGATACTCTAACGATATTATTATCTCGGCCATCGATCCACTCGTCGTCACCACGCGTGCAATGCCCATTAATCTCCACGTATAAACCTGGGTGGGTACTCTGGCGCGTCCGGTTTCGCAGATAATTTATATAATGTACGGCCGGGTGAATTTTTCAAAAACGCGCGGTTTCCTGACCAATGACGCGCGTGTGGTCTGTGGTATAATACCTTGCATTATGGGTGCCTAAAGGCTAAAATATGTACTTTTTCGTACCGCAACAGAATCATATCAGTTTTTGATGAGGGGGGTGGGAGGAATATCAACGAAAATATAACCACTCGCAAACTAATCTCAATTTACATTTTCCTCTATGTATTATCATTTAAAAAATGGAAAAATAGCACATTTTTTTTTTTTTTTCATAGACTGGATTCTAAATTAGCATAGTACCTAAGTACCTTAAATACGTTATTTTAGATTTTCTCCGGGGGACTGAATTAGTATATTTGTTTTTTTTTTTTTTTATATAAATTAACTTAAAACAATTTTAAATATACATAACAAATACAATCTTCTCATCATGAATTTAATAAATGTCAATTACACTTGTGATCAGTTTTGATTCTCTATCTCATAATGCATTACCTGATACTTAAGGTTTTCATGAGTTAGTCACTTCATACTTGTGTAGATACCTAATGTTCATAAAAAAAAAAATTGTAGTGTGAGTTAATCAAGTCAACTAAAATTAGAAAGTATTTTTACTTTTTAGGATTGACATGTCTAAAAAACTAATAAATTAAATTAAATGTATTTCGTACCCTAATAAATAATAATGAAAAACCATATTATTTGAAAAAAAAATAATGATTACATGCTGGGCGTCTTTCATTCTTATTCATTTTTTCATTTAATCATTCTTCGTTCGTCGCTAGTTTTAACAATTTTTTTATTTTAAGTACCCCGAGGGTGTGAAAAATACGTGTTTTTTAATGTTTGAGAAGATTTTTATTAATCAAAAAGTGCTGGTTGTCAGGTAAAAAAAAAAAAAAGGCATACACTTTTAAATCCAATAAAGTTACATCTATACGTTATATAATCCAAAAACGTTATTAATATTAAAAATCAATATTTCCGCGTTTATCCGCAGACATGGGTCAGTTCGCGCCACATCACTCGTGGGGATATTCTCACTCGACGGCATATTCTACGTGGCCGGGTGGGGGCGGATGCACCAACTTCACGCCGCCCGCGCTCACCACGGGGTTCACCGGTACCGCGACCGCTGCAACTTCGGAACTGCACTCCTCCCTGACGACTAGCCACCATCACGACTTGTTCCCGACTTGTGCGGTCAACGCACAAACGACGGCTGCCGGTAAGAGTTTCGGTTACCATTTACCACCGAGTAATTTCAATCGTACACTCTCGCCTCGATACGAAAGTGTCGTAAGTAAAATGTCGCGTGTCGATAACTTTAGGTTATACGTATATAATATTCCAGTCACATAAAACGTAAAATCGCATCGCACCCGAGTATTAAGAATGAAATAGTTTTTATTAGGATATGTCTATGGTCAAAATTGTCAACGATTGTCTACATCGTAATTATTAATTGTAGTGATGCCGTCGTTTTCGGATGCGAGCGGCACGACTCCCAACAGTGCCGGCGATCTAGAACAACAGCTGTTGTCGTCTTCGAACTGTCACCCTCAACTTGATCGCACGATCGGGTTCTCCACTTCCCCCCGGGGTTATCAACAGCAGCCCGCGGGAAACGGCCAGGTGATGAACCCGGCGCCACCGGACTTGCATCCGTCTACGTCTTCGGGTCCCAGGTCCACCGATTCGTCGGCACCGGACTCGCCCACCGGTCCTGGCGGGTCCGCGGACGACATGATGGCGATCGGTCACGGATCGCACGGCGGTTACCACGATCAGGCGGGCGGCGGTTACCACGGCGGCGGTCATCATCCGACCATGATACCGGCGTCCCTGCAGCTGTACTCGCAGCTGTACCACGCTTCGGCAGCCGGGAACATGACCAGGCACCATCATCACAACCATCATCACTATCACCAGTCCGGTCTCGGCGACGACCACAACATGGTGAGCGCGGCCCAGAGACCCGCCCAACAAGCTGTGGCCGCGGCCGACCATTCGGCCGTCTGGAGACCTTATTGATGGGCGGATACTATATTTTATATAGGATACCGCGTTTGACTTATTATTATTGTAATAATATTTTATCGTGCCATTAAAACTTTGTTAGATTATTATTATTATTATTATTACTATTATTATTATTATTACGATGATTCGAACCTTGTGATTAATATACGATGTGCAATATTAATTTATATTAATATATATATATTATACTTAAATTTTTAAGAGTGAGTAACGCGCGCGGTGTCGTGGTTTTTTATTATTATTATTGTTGTTCGTTTTTTTTTTTTTTTTTTCTCGTCTGCAGTAATTCCTAAAGAAACGGAAAACGCGAACGCGAAAAGAGCGAGACGGCGCGAGGGCCGTTATTCACAGGCCGCCATGATGCAATATTGAAAACCACGGGCGCGCAAATGAACTTTCGGCTGGTGCCCGCGTAATAAGACGGCACTGCCGCGCGGGCGGCGGCGGCGGCGGCGGCGACGACTCGTGTAGATTCCACGGTCATGTATTATTCATTACGGCGGGCCGCCACACGCGCATCCCGCGTACGACGGGATCCCGCCGCGCCGGTTGTAAGTAATCTCCGCGGGCCGCCGGGAATACGGCGCGATGATGGGAGTTATGACGAACGAAATTCATTATCTTACTTGCGGCGGTGCCGGCGAAACGGCGGCGACGGGCGGAACTGCGCGCGGAAAAGGAATTCATAACTCCCGCGCGGGTTTCCCCGCGAGACCAATTGGCTTTGGCTTTTCGGGCGCGCCCGCCCGCCCGCCCGCCGCGCACTCCCTCGCCCGTTCGGCGCGTACACGTATAATAATAATACGCTTATGCTCTTTTGTTTTAATTCTCATCTCGTATTCACCGGGCGCGCACCAGAAACCGTTAATTATAATATTCCCCGCTCAACCGGAACGCGCGCGCGTATAATGTTGCCCGCGAATTTCCGGATAGTGTTCTACGCGTGTGTACGTTGTACGGGGTACCATTGCCGCGTACGCCCGTCGAATGTGTTCGCCGCCGCACGGCGATATGCATAATGTATACGTGTACACTGCGCGTATACGTATCGCGCAACGTTTGTCCCGGCCACCGGCGGCGCGTCCGTTCGAAACTTTCCACCGCGCCGTCGAAACGTCGGGTTTCAAACTTTCGTTTGATAGCACGCGTGCCCGAAATTCACGGGTTCCCCCCCCCCTCCCGCAGATCGCCGTATCGCCGCGCGCCAAGTAACGGTTAGGGTTGTTCGATTTTTCCGCGGGGTGTTCAGAGTGAATTTTTCCGGCTTCAACAACGAGAAAATATGACGGACACGATTTGAGAGAGTAGGAGAGTAACCCCCCCCGCCCTACCGCTGAAATTTCCTATCGTACCGTTCACGTTCTATCACTGAGAACGGAAAACGACGCTGAGCGGAGTTCGACGGAAGTCTATAGCCATAGAAGGTTTGGCGTCAATTAGGACATAACTCTCGATTTATACTTTTTTTTTTTTTAGTCACTTAACATAACTTACGATAAACCGTGTATAAAATTGTAGAACATTTTTATAGAAATAAACAATTCGATTCACATAAACACAGAAACAACTATGAAAACCCATCAAACTGTAATCAAATTGTACTCCCGTGTACCACCGTGTGCATATGGTAAAAATAGGATTAATTCTATATATTGAAAAAATAAAAAATTTTGTCATCTACAAAGTAAATACGAATAGTATTATTTAAAAATAGTTTTTCTCTTATTTATCTAGATGGTCTTGAAACGATTTCATTGAATTTTGTGAACCGTTTGTATAGTGACGAGCATTATGATAAACATACCACTCTTGTAGATGAGAAACTGCGAACGTAAAACACTTAAGGTATAAGTATGGTTTAGTTTAAATACTATATACAGCGATAGTTCATTAGCCACGAAATCGATTCTGAGCGGAGTTATAATTGTAAGAATGTTATTCATATTTATAGATAAAATACGGACATTTTAAGAACAAATAATAATTAGTTGGTTATCGGAAAACAGTTATAAATAACATGAAATTAATGAATTTACGTTTTACTTTTAGAAAATAACTTAAATAATAAGTTCCCAAAACTGTTTATATTAGATGTATGTATTGGTTAGAAATTGTTAGAAATAATAATTTTTCGTATCACCGTGACGGAAATAAACGTGATTTTTGAAATAAGCCCAACGGTATCTTATCATTCCGGAAAGAATTAAGCAATCAGCGGATGCGGTCGCGGACGTGCAGGGAATCGAAATTCGCGTAAAAATCCGCGTCCGTGCGTGAATGGTACGCTCCGCCGTTCCACGTGTAGACAGCTGTTAGTTAAAGATAAACAATTATTTTGGTACTTACATTGACTATCTGTAGACATAGTATAGTCATGTTTAACAGGATACTATGCCCGCATGTGCTGTCTCAGTCAAACTAACAGACAATGTACCTTACGAAGACTGCGTAGAACTCGCTAAAGGACTAAACATATAAGCATTACAAACTTACTTAGCAATTATCTATTTGTCAAATGCTAATTAAATAAAACAGTAATCATAATTTAAACCTTTCTTAGTAGATATTTTCTTTTTTTATCGATCTACGTCTATTACTCGTGGTTTTATATTTTAATACTCCACAAAAACGTGTAGTTCCTTAAAATTATCGTTACTTTTTTTCGTAATTATTGAGCGCTATAAAATTCGCCTTTTTCTAAAGTAGGGCGTTATTTTTTTTTTTTTTTAAAAAGGAAACGTTTTTGTTTTATATCAATCTTTTGAAATGTGATATCCTGAAATTAATTCATTCAATATAATTTATCATATTTATTAAAAACGATACATCTGCAATATTCTTAATACAGTGAAAACTATCTAAAGGGTCCCTTTTGTGTAGAGAACTCCCTACTCGGTCACCACTGACCGACCATAGGTACCAAAATCAAAATAAATGCAACAAACAATTTTGTATTTGAACTTAGTGACGTGCGAATCAATGATTTTGTTTTTGATAAACTCTAATATGCTGAAATACTAAGAAAAAAAAAATGCAAATAATACAAATTCGTAGCCCTAGCCATAACTAATAATTTATTAGATATTCGTCTACTAAATATAATTATGTAAAAATAAAAAACGAATTACAATACCATAATGTATTTTTTCGAATTTCCATTAGATCATTTTGAGCTTTAATAGTTTTAGCATATAACGTACATTCTGCCGTGATATTACCATTGCAGTCGGTAGTTTTTTGTTAAAAGTATTTATGGTGAGCTGGCCACTGTATTTGTGTTGGTAAATTAGAAGATACATATTGCCAGTGTTAGAAGTATCTTCTACTGAATTCATTTTGTAAAATTCATAACTAAATACGCGCATAAAACGCATAAAAGATAAAATATTAAAGATCGATTTGAAAATAATAATTGTAGCGTCTGTTGCGTCTATATGCATCTGTACAGAAATAATCTTGACATTCATCGCTGTAACATCGCTTTCACCAGGAATTTCTCTCACTGCATTGATAATTGGTATTGCGCTAGCATGGTAATCACAGAAAGTTGAGTACAGAAGAGGGGAAGCGTGTAACGGGACTATTGACGACGATTTCAGGAAACCACAAGCTTATATTATTTACTATAATTACAATAATATTTCCACGGTTTGATTCGCAGCGACATCAAGACGAGTCACCCACGGGTCAATTGTGACGTTTGATTCCCTTATCCACAAGACCGTGTATTTTTTATAGATTAAAATTGATAATAGTTTGTTATCAAAACGTAATACCCATAATCATGAACAATATACAGTGTTATCTTAATTCGTGATTACAATAATATGATTATATTGTTTAATCTTAATTTGCGAATCGTGATCGTAACAAATATATCAATCAACCGATTTAGGTGTTAAACATTTTAATTGTGGGGAAAACTAATCAATCCTAAATAAACAATCAATCAAACAAGCAGCGAAAAACGTACTAGGTTTTGAAGGGAAAAAAAAGCCTAAAAAATGGTTCAGCGACAGATGCAAAAGAACTTTTGAAGAACGAAATGCTGTTAATATCAATAATATCAGCACTAATAAAAACCGTCAACGAGTTTAACCGAAGAACCTTAGCAATCAGGCTATACGACATAAGCGCCAAAGGTAAAAAAAAATGACATACTATTTGCGTCAAAATTAATATTTTATACAAGTAGGGATTTAAAAAATTTCAAAATTGTCAATAACCGAAAAATGACGTATAACAATAAATGAAATTAATTATAATTTGTATAAATTGATTGATTTTTTCGATCTTTAAAAATATCGGATAATAAATTTGTCGATTAAGATTAAACGTTTCTAGTTTTTGAACGACAATATAGTTCTAAACGTAATATCGCACAGACACGGGTAATAAATGCATCTATTACTGCAGTATACTCGTATATCTATTAACCGTGACACACGGTTACTTAGAGTGTTGGCGCGTTTGTACGATACGATTTCGGCGCTTTCGTACGATAAGTTTTTTTTTTTTTTTTTTTATCTTATTTTGACACTTGTATTTTCCGCCGAGCAATCAAACACCGAAAACTAAAAAGACAATGAAAGCAGAAAAAAGGTTATGGAAAAAGAGTCACATCAATGACAAAGGGATAAATTTTAAAAGAAACATCAAAGTTTCATACAAAAAACTAATGGCATCGTATATCAACACAATATGGTTAAATTATTTTATTCGGGTTTAGTGATGCCAAAACATTATTACGAGACCAAATGAACATTTGAATTTAAAAGTGCATTCAAAATTAGGTACTTAATTTTTTTTTTTTGTACACCGTGATTAAACAAACAGACACGTTCATTAGATTAGACATTGTTTCCCGGGCTTGGAAAACAAACTGAATTATCGTTTTATTATCTGTGTACTTTCTGCAGGGGAAAACGGATTAACGATCAATTTTTTCATATCTAGCTGTTTATTTATTCACGCTGCGCATATTATATTAATCGACATATATTAAATTGGTTATATCACGCAATAAGATAAGATATAATTGTTTTTTTTTTTTTCGTTTTGTAATTCCGTGGAAATATTTTATTTAGAAAATGCCCACTGAGAATCGCCTTTTATTACTACCCAAGTAAAAT